TACCTTATATATGTACAACGGTGTATTAAAAAGGGAGCAAAAGAGACATTCGCCCTGCGAAGAATTTTTTTTGGTGGCTGTAAATTTTTTGGAATATTTTTTTATGTAAATACAATAACCTTCTTCACTCTACACAGAGTAAAAAAGGAACCAAAACAATTGTATGATATAATGAAAAACACAGAATTGAGAGTTTAGAGTCAACTAATAATAATAATTATATCAATGTTACATATTATATGTGTATATAAAATTATTTCATAGTACATGGAAATTTATGTTATAGTGTATTACATGTATATAATATATTTATGTATACATCTTAGAAGATCTTTCAGTAGATGTGCTACTTAGAATTGGCTCTAATGGCTATGATACAAGACCGTTGCCAGAAAAATATTTAGGGGGGTTTCAGTATAATATATTCTATTATATAATAAAATATGAAAATCAATTCCTTAGCCAGACATTTCGGGGGGGGGGGGGAGGTTGAACCCTGAACCCCCCTAGATACGGCCTTGCTATGATACCTATCTAATTGGTCATGATTTAGCTAGGTACACCATATAGATACAGTGTAGATACCAATAACTTTATATCAACATTTTTTCGTCTAATAAAATCAAAAATAGGTAATTAAGTATAAACTAGTAAAGGTATAATTATAACTATACTAATAAATATTACAAAAATATTGTTCTCTATAATTTTTCTAATAGGTAATTTTGCTATAAGATTACTAAAAATGCTAAAAAACAAACTATTTTACTTGAATGTGTTATCATAATGTTACGCGTGGGTTTTAGAGAAAAAACAAATATTAAACTGACATCTTCTTATAATTGCTCACGACCTGTCGGCGAGTCTCTATCAAATTCTTTTTCTACAAGTAAAATAAACAAAACAGTTTAAGATAGTAAGACGTACTATGCAACATTAGAACTATTGAATATAAATCGATGTAGTAATTAATGATTTCTAGCATAATATGGCAGGTAGACAGATCCTGTAAAATAAATACCATTTGAGCTTTAATTTACTGATGGAAAGGGGTCTGTATATCACTCATTACTCAATGGTTAGAATTGTTTTGTAAAAAGTGTTGACTGTTGACATAATTGGATTGCTAATAAAAATAATTGTAAATGCAGTTAAAGTCTTGAATATTGCCTACTTAGCCCCTTGAAACCGTCACTGAGGAGTGTTGAGTTTGAGTACTGGTGAAGATAAATCACTTATACAAATTACTATCAAAATATTTTTAACATTTATGTACATTTATAATTTTGGGTAAGCCTATGCAAACACAGTACGTTTATTTTAACAAAATGATTTTTGGAGTTGAATTAAAATTAGCGGTAAAACACTGAAACACTAAATTTTCCTATGTATTATTCAATCTAATTTTTAGTTTAAATGTTGTGTTTAGTTCTATTCTGAAATTATATACCAAATTTAAAACTTAATACATTTGCTGATTTTACATGCAGTTATTTATCATTAACTCTCATATTTTTATTTTTATTAATACCACTTTGTAAAATTAGTTGACCCATTACTCATTAGCTTGGTGGATGTCTAATATAACAATAGTATTATACAATACTACAGGTCAAAAACATATTTTTATTTATTAAATTTTAATTAATATACCTATTACCAAAGGAAAATAGTAATAACAATGGATAGTTTGTATAAATTGTATAAAATGTATGTTATTGTTTTTTTCTTGTTCTGATTGATAATATGATTTTATGAATACATAATATTTCAATTTTCACGTTTATTGAAAATATCAGCTATATAATATACACCTCTCATAACATTACATTCTACGATACTTATTGACGATCCAGAAACACAATTCTTGCAATTTGTCTGCAATTTTCAATATTTCTAACATTTTACCGTATAGATGTGACCATGTACTGAGAACGTATAAATCATTTTTTAAACGTAAAATGTGTACAAAATAGATGCAAAGTTAACTGTCATAAAAAAAATCCACAAGGTTGATTAAATCATGCGATTCTTGTTTTTATAACATAGGAAATAGCAACAGCGTGAAGTTAGGTATACAGCGAGAACCTTACATTTTACTCATGGACCTTTACTATTACTCTTACAAAAACAACTGAATTCGCTTTAACTTTTTCACTCAATATTGATATATATTTATTTAAAATGTTTTAAAAAATATGAAAAAAGATTTTTTAAGCATTTAATATTTAGATTCTCTGTAACCATTTTTCCTAATAGAAATAACGCTTTGATTTTCAACTTCAACATCTTTTCTGATGGGAAAGTGAATTTAGTTGTACTATAACAAGAGATCAAAATTGAAAATTCACAGTAATTTTTAAAAGCTTCAGGAAAATAATTAAGGAAATACTTGAGATTTTTTGTGCAAAACCAGTTTTTGACATAAATGATTTAGTTTTTTTGATGTAACTATAAGAAATTAAGAATCGTAGGTACTTTACATTTTTACCAGTTGTTTATATTAGAATTTTCTATAAATCATAATATTTTCAAAATATTTTGACTCATGTTGAGCTATTAAAAGTCGTATACAATTTTCAGTTTGTATAATTTATTTTAAGTAAATGTCGATAAAAACTTTCACATAATTTTTTATTTGAGTGTAAATTTATAATGTTGATAAAATTCGTCAAGCCATTAACAAAAAAAAAATTTTTACCAGAAAGTCAAATTAATTTTTTATGTGTGTTTGAATTTTAAATTTTTTCGACATCGGATATTCACTCGTAAATTAACGAATTCTCGTTGAACAATTTTCTTATTTTGTTGTGATTCAAAAACGAGTAATTGTATGTATACTTACCATTTAAAAAAAATGTTTTATTTAATTATTTTCTATACATTACAAATTTTCAAAATGTTATGATTCGTTTTGAGCTAAAATCTTTTTAAATGTTAAACATTTTTATTAGTTTTCTATAAATGTCAATAAAATTAAGTTCGTTTGTTCAAAAAGCTTGAAAATGTAATTCAAGATTTGTCACAAATTGTTGTCATCGCAATTAAAAATTATCGAAACTTGACAACTGTCACAATTTTTATATGCATTTCAAGTTCAAATTGTTCAACACAAAAATATATTTTGCAGTTACAAAGTTCAAAAAATGTAGGTAATATAATATAGATTATAGGAATAAATATTTGAAATAATGTATAACAACTTTAATTATTTTGTTGAAATTCAAAAATTTAATTCTTGGGGACTTGAAACTTTTACGTAGGTATATTTTTATATTTTACTACCTATTGACTATTTATTCCCCGATCCATATACGACATTGACTCAAAAGTTAAGACAAAATAATATAATGCAATAAAAATGTTTAGAAAACAAATTACCTACCGTATATTACTAATAGTAAAATATTAATATATTATAGCTATATAAATATATGATATTTGATAATATTTATTACATAATATACTATACAGGTTGACAGACCAACTCCGTCCATAATCGTTTTTCACATGCAATGATTTATCATTAATTTAAATTTATCAAATTCATTAACTGACCTACTCAATGCGATATATCATACATACAATACTCATTAAACTAAACACTCAACATATACCGTACCTATAACAGCTGAGTGTTACCACTAACTCAATGCGATATATCATACATATAATACTCATTAAACTAAACACTCAACATATACCGTACCTATAACAGCTGAGTGTTACCACTAACTTATTTTGCTATTTTTCAAAAAATATTAATCATTGTAGATATTTGAAACATTTCACCATTACTTACTCGAAGTATCTTTTCCTATAAGTACACAATGCCATTCTCAAAATATTTATACAAACAAACAATTGAAGATGACGTTACATGGACATTTTTTGTCTCCGTCTTACAAGTGCCCAATGCCCATCATACCAAATTTTAAGCTTAGCAAATCAAGTTTAGCTCCTTTAATTTAAAAATTGAAGTGAATTGACCTCTTATAAAAATTAAAGGTAAAATTATTATCTTGGGAAATTCATGATTTTTTTATAATATTTTAATTTTAAAGCGAATTATGAGTACCTATTTTAAAATGTAAAATGTAAAATTTACTACCTATTTTGAATTACTCATAACTCGTATACCACGTATTCCGTGTATGGATAGTAATATATCGTTCGAAATATACAGGCAGATGGACCATCTGAACTCAGAATCGTTATTTGTGTACCTTGATTCACCATTGAATTCAAATTTAATACGTCCATCACTGTGATCTATATACTAATTATGAGGTATACTCGACACCTATACTATGTACTGCAGCCTAATGAGTTCTCCTGTTAATTGTGCATAATATGTGATAATAATATGAAATCAATGATAATATATCATTTAATCATAAAATGTAAAATTTTTGGTTTATTATGAGTAAGACTTATGAGCATTTATTTATAACAGTGAGTTTAATCTTCAAACATGAACACATTTCAAAATACAGTTTCTTTCTCTTTCTTTGCTGCATCATCAATGTTCTGATGAGTGATAAATGATAATACGATATTTTTCGTAGTCTTGATGTAGGTGGTTAGGTATAATATGTAAATACAATAATTACACTTTACCTATATAAACATGTTATAATACGATGGCAGGCATATTATTAATGCTCTATATAGGTGGAAACCCTCCTTACCCCTACCTTTAAAGTTATATTAGGAGACCGCAGTAAAAAAATGTCAACAATGAATTGTTATAAGACTTTTGTGATCGCTACTGAAGTGTGAATTGGGAATGATGCGTGTAATACACATACATTTATACACCTATTTAGTTAGGTATACAATATAAATATATATGTAAAATAAATTACACATTTTATACATAAAAATATAATGTACTGCAATCTACTATGGAACGAGTCGGCAAACGGCTTGTGTGTAATATTATATATTTATTTATTATATTATTGTATATTATTATAATACATAGGTACTTGTTGCATAGGTTGTGTGTGTTTTGTTTGGGTATTTTTTTTTTTATCATTTATACATAAATTTTTTTTTGTCCCCGACGTCTGTTTTTTTCGCTAGATGATTCCAAGCAGAACGCTTGTGTACTTACACACGAGTGAGTGCGTGTATCTGTGTGTGAAGTCGTCTTCGTCGTCGATTCTGGTGGCAGCGGCGGCTGTGTACAGATACGCAGTTGCAAAGACTATCGCAGTAGCGGCGGCGGCGGCGGTCGGTATATTGTCTGAAAAGTTCATTCCCCCTACTATACAGGCGACCAATGGAAAAGAATTGCGCGCACGCACACACACTCGCACGCCCAACGTCTTAATATGTTATACAAACGTACGTGTGTGTGAGTGTATTGCTATTATTATATTATTATTAATATGTATTATATCTATGTATATAATATAATATAAGAGTTGGGTTTGTTTGTGTGTGTGTGTGTGTGCGAGTGTGTACGTGCGTGCGCGTATATAATCGCGACTGCAGTACATCTACCGGTATATTATTATATTATATTTCGACGATGACGAAGAGAATAATGCAATTAGAGCCCCTCCATCAAAAAAATCTGAAAGAATTACTGAAGTAGTAAAAAAAAAATGTTAGAGCATTAAAAGTGGAGAAAAATGTACATAGGTAGGTGCATTTTTAATGCGACGAATATAATATTATAGTACCTACACCAACAAATGATATTGTGTTTACGATAATATAAATGCACCGTGGTCAGTATCTTGGCGATTCGTGTTATACATTAGATGCATTACCTGTATAGTAAGCCTTCGAGTCTTTGACTATGGATTGTTTATATTTTATTGATGGTCAATATGAAATGGATATATATTAACAAATGAAATTATGATGAATAGCGGAAAAAAAGCCCATGGAAAAAAAGTCCACGGAAAAAAATTAAACATAAATGTGAACACATGACGTGTACTCTACTCCCAACTATAAATTACGGAGTTGTGAGTACCTAGACAAAATATAGTATATTATAGTGAAAAAAGTTTCTTATTAATCGAGTATCCTCATATAAAATTGCCTATATTTTGGTTATATTAGTTTATGAATTATTAATTACTAATTAGGAGTGGAGTATAGATACATGTGTTCACAATGTTCACATATATATTTAATTTTTTTTCTAGGCTTTTTTCCGAGTACCAATTATTATACATTTTATTCTTTAAATCTGGAGTATGGTTTCCAATAATTGTGAGACAAGATTCAAATTGAAAGTGTTAAAAATCGATTTTTGTAAACGGTTTAATGAATTATGGGTATTTATACATTTATCATGATTCATGACCAATAACCATAAACATGTTTTAATGACACTCAATATAAAATATTTTAATATCTACGTTACACACTTAGTGAAAGGAAATATGACTAATGTTATAGTTTTAAATTATTTGGTGTATGGCTGTGTAATATTCACCAAGATTTTTGTCCCGATTTCGAATTCCGGGAATAACCCGTTCATAAAAACCCTACTACTACGAGGACTACCTAGTTCCTGTAAGAATGAAATATTTGAATTCTAAAAGATGACCCATTAGAAGAGTCTTAAGTGAAAATACAGCCTATCAAGGAATAATGAACCTCATTTATACCTTTTTTATTGTAGTAGGTAATTACAGTAGGTAGCTATTATAGTTATAATTAGTTACTTTATTAGTTAGTTGATAATTTATAACTTTTAAATTTATCTTGTTATAATGAATATCTACAAATATATATACATATATGTGTATTGTGTATCGTGTATGTACTATGTGTGTACCTTATGTTTATTAAACTGTCAAAAATTAAAAGCCAAATAGCGTTTATATCCAAAAATAAAGATTTTAAAACCTATACTAAGTAAATAAAATTAGTTTGCAAAGTACTTATTGAGTATTCTCTCAAAGGAATCAGTTGATTCGTTCTACTTAGTTCCCAGCATCAATAATTTCAAAGTAAATTCATAATATTATATATTGCCATACCATACTCAGATGAGGTTCAAACTTTACAATTATCAGATCAGCCGAAAACATACACTGGACTTCTCCTTCGTGGTTTAAGAGTTCTTTTCATTTATTCTTGAATTACTTAAGATACATGCAATCATGCTGCAGTATACCTGTGATTTCTCAACAATATTTTGAGATATTGTGGTGGACGTATAGGTACAAAAAAATACTATATGCGAACTATAGGCGAAAATAAAAAATTAAATCAACAAGTGTTCGTGAGTCCTATAATTTTTAACCAAAACCGGAGTGGGGAGTATTGCGCTTCTCACAACCGATTAATTATTTTGGAACAATAACAACAATTAAAAATTACAATGTTAAACTAACTTTCCGGTTAGGCATTGAAAAATCAACAGTTTAAACAATTATAATGGGACATATATAATTTATGTGCATGGCACAACTAAGTTATTTTTCAATATCAAAAGTATCCTTACTTGAAATCGCCCTTATATTGATTGTTAATTCGCATTTGGCGTTAACGAATTAAAAAATGATCGTCGACTTCGTGTGGTAATGCATTATTATAATATTATGAACACGGCGTAATACGTGTGACATCCTGCTGAACTGTCAAAATGAAACGTATCACGACACTTTTGTGGATTAGGGGTGGGGCTAAATTCCAACCCCTATTTGCGCCAATGAATCCGGAAACACCGCTGTGTACAAAATTGCACGTTATATTGTACCAAAAAACACGCATATTTATAATATCTACGTACGGCCAGTGCGTTTTGTCGTCGTACAGGCACATCGCCGTGGCTCTTGGCCCGCAACCTTGCACCGGGAGTGGGCAAATACCGGCGCCGCCGCCCGCTCGATCAGCTGACGGGGCGGCCGCCGGACGCCCGCCGCTGCACAGTGGTATATTATACGCGCCGTGCCATCGTCTTCCGCGGAGACGACGACGACGACTCCACGCGCGCCGTCGGTCATCAAAAACGCGAGCAGAAGGAAAGCGACGCGCCGCTGTAATAATAATTATTCCCGTCGACGATCCTGCGCGCGCGACCACCACAGATAAAATATCGTTACACAGCTGCTGCAGCAGTCCGCGCACGATACGCGAGTCGCCGGTGAAAAATAGTATACCTATCGTATCGCCGCGCGCAGCGTCACACAATCGCCACCGGTCCGTCCGGAACAACGGGTCATTGATTCGGTCTCTGCCGCCGCCGCCGCCGTCGATTTCTGCACTCGCACTTGTTGTACGTACATTTGTTTGTCTTCCGAGTCTGTTTTTTTAAAAAAAAATTTTCGCGCACTACACGTTCAAAATTCGAGAATTTAATATCGTCGTTAGATTTTAAAATTGTGCACACACACGGTTCGAGTTTTCCACATACGGTTCGCCGTTTCGATAATAATATAAAACAATAATATACCAATCATCAATTATATTATTATTATTGTACAATAGTAATAACTCCGGAAATTCGCACGCATCGTGCTATTCGCCGATATTATTTGTTAATAATATACCGCCGTTTCAGTGGAGTTCTGTTGGACGTCTCGTAATCCGCGTCACGAATTTCCCAGGTAAGTCGCAAAATATCTATTTGAGTTGAACGTTGAACGTAGAGACTTCGAACGATTCGTTCAATGTTGTTTTTAATATCATATAGGTACATGGGGATTTAATTTATAATATGTAAACGATAATAGGGCAAAATGAACATTTTCAAACTTGCAGTAGACATGCTCAAAGCAAAATGTAGCGGTATCTACCTATAATATATTTTTAACATATTTATTTTGTATCCATGTACCTATATTATATGTAGGTAATTTAGGAACTAAGGTTATAGCATTTACCTATGGTCATTTTCGAGTGTTTTCAATTTTTGTATTTATTTTGCGATCAGCTCAATATATTAAAACGCCATAAAAAATGCAAATGATGGCATTGAACTTAAATATTTATTTTTTTAATGATAACATTTTTGCAGTCCGTTAGGTTTGAAAAAAACAGAACGATCGTCTATCCTTATGCATCAATGACTATCATGTCGAGACGAACTGCGCCATGCGGTTGAGGAGACATCAACGACAGTTAAACGAGAAAACATTATTCATCAATTTACACTACTGTGCTGATATCGATCAATATTCGTGCTCTCGCTGAAAATATATACATACCTAAGTTGCGGTGCAGTAGTCTTCGAAACTACTGAAACAACCAACTACCTACAGTATTTTTTGTCACGAGATTAGAAGACACATCGAATCCTACAGGTAAACCTTTTTTATATTAAGGTTTTAAAATAGTCGTACAAACAGATAATAAATATTTAGTGTTTTTAACGAAATATAGTATATATTTACACGAGTAAAATAAGACTGTACAATAATATTAATAAAAAAGTCTAATTTGGGCTCTATACGTCCAATGAATAATGAAACACAGAATGTCATAGCATTCTACTGACTTATTTACACTTTATAATCCTAACCAATTAACACAAAACTATATAGTAACGATTCATTTTCTTAAAATTGTATACAATTAACGCAAATACAATCTTTAAAAAATTGTTCTCGTATTGAAATATATTAAGAAACACATTACCTTTAACTCTTTTGACAAGCGTCATACCATGAAATTGTATTTTAGGTGGTCACTTTTAATGACCATAGTAGTCGAAATTGTATACGGGAGAATGACCCATTCTTCGTGGTCATATTTTTTACTATCAAAATTCTTTGTGCAAAAAATATTAGTTGCCTACAAAACCCTCAGTGTAAGCATCGAGCATATATTGAGATGAGGTTTTAAGAAATTTAATATTTAATTTCAATTAGATTTTTGATAGCAAGTATAGGACCAAAATTATTATTAATATTACGAGTTATGAAAATTAAGTTAAAAAAATAAATAAATATTGCGAGTATGCGTGTTTTTTAAAATGTATACATTTTTTTAAAACATTAAAATAATGTAATAAGACAGTACTTACTTTGTTAGTGCATTTGGTCTTTGGTATATAGGTATTCCTTGTACATTATTATTGCACATTTGTTCATTATGTACATTGGTATTGTTACTACATTCACGAGACAAAAGCATCCAACAAGTTGTTTTAATTATATTTTAAAAATGATACCTCGTAATTTCTTTAAAGTTTATAAACAATTTTCACGACTTATTCAAATTAAACAATTCCATTGGAAGTCGACTATTTTTTCTTTTACTTTATAAGATACATCAAACATTTTTTATCTATACTCAATACTATACATATAGCTAGGTGACATTTTATAACAATGTGTATTGTTGATTGTGATACTATTAAAATGATAATAACAAATACAATTTTGAGTAGCTATCATCTACACATATATTAATAATATTAAAATGGATAATTTTAAACGATGAAATACAAGTTAGCAATCAATATAAAATCTGAGTTTTATTGCTGTGATGTACGACAAAATACAATATAATATCTTTTATAATGTAATATAAAATCAAATTTTATTGAGCAAAATTCACAACGCATCTACTATGCATTTTATTTATCTCTTAGTTTTCTGCTATTTTTATTGGTATTCAGCTTAAAAAAATATTAAATCGTTTACATTAGAAGAATTATTTGACTTCGGTAGAATTATTATTTTGTTTTATAAACTTTATGCAGTTATCTGCATCTATACATAGGTAAATTTGTTGTCATTGAATGATTAACATACCTACAGGTTATAGAATATATTGAACAAATTAACTCAATATTGCATTTAAAATTAATGTGAACAAATATTGAAATGTATATTGCTTTTATAATAATTTAATCAGTATACCTATTAACCACGTAATAAGTGGGTATTATTGTAATGCTCCTGGATGATGCCTAATAAATAAAGTTTCATGATTTTCATGATTTAATGAACAAATAAACGTTATTTAATAGAAATTATCTTTACAGATATTCGTATACTCTAATTATATATTGAACATTTTAAACTAGTAAAACAGAAACAAAGTAGTGTCCTGGAGTATATACCTTCACTCTACATGAAAAATTGTAAGATCGGTGTCAATGAATGCATACCCTATTTCTGATTATAATGCTTTGTTAATTTGTTTTTCGTTATCATTTATTAACTTCCAAAACTTTTTTTTATCGTAGAAATAATATTTTAAAGAGATTTAAAGTATGCACAAAAAAATTAATAGATAATGGGATAAAATATATATACCTAATGGGATTGTCTAATATACTATGACTAAATAACCCACGAGGTCAGTTAGGTTCATACATAATAAAAGCATTGTAAGGTATAACTGTGTAAGTAGATAATTAAGAAGAAATTAAGAAAAAATACCTAATAGGTATGATACTATCCAACATAACAAATGAAAACTTTATTATGGAAAAGTTGTTTTCCAAATAAACAGTTTCTGTATTCAAATCGTAATATTATAAATTAATTGAGTTGTATGAAATCCAGTTGTACAAGCAGTGATATTGTAGTGATATAGTTTTTAATTTTTAATTTTTTGGTAATATTCTTCTGTATCATAATATATAGTATTATAATCGAGATTATATCTAGAATATGTGAGATGAATGAGACCTGAAATGATAAAAATGATCTTAATTCCACGTCACAAAGAACCAGACAAAAATTTAGCTTTCAACAATTAATATGCAGTTTTAAATAACAATAAAAGTTTATAGCACTATACAATAAACAATAACGTGCCTTCTAGATAGTGTTTGTTCCTAGACCATACAATAATATTTTTTAATAGGTATATACAATTTACATCCACGAATAGAAATCATATTTTCTAACAATAATAATTATTATAGAAACAATACATTAATTATAATAAGTAGTCTAGATCGTGGAGATCGTGCTAGTTAATACTCCGACTTTGAAATACGTTCTTGTGATACACAATTTAAATTTAGTCTAAAAGATCACACGACTGTCAATAACAATCTTTGTGTAATGAGCCGCACTCATAAGTATTATAATGTGCACCCTTTAACAATAACGCATATTCGTCTGTTTTATTTAATTATGATATTTAATTGAGTACAGCTATTGAATAAGATTTCTCTTATAGAGGAAAGTAGTGTACTATACTGTATGTAGGTACCTCTATTCGACATCCGCGTTCAGTTATAGATCATTAAACCGACACTGAGTCTAACACAGATTACAATTATTTTGGAGCGAAGACAAAGAAGATAGAGAATGCCGAATTTATTTTATGCCGTATCAAATAAGTGCGTAAATAATAGTCGTCATCGTACATCCAAACTAGTTAGGAAGGAAGGCGTGTAAAAGGTTATTGTTAAAAAAAAATAATGCGCTAATCAAAAGTAATACTTAATAATTATTATACATATAAGTAGGTACATGTGCGAAAAAAATGTTTACGAACATCGAATATTTCAAAATGATTGGGTATTGACTGTCGATGTATCTGTCTGATTGTTAAATTCGATCCAAATGTATGTTAATATGAATGCACGATTAAAATTACAAATCCGTGAAATAATTCGATTGGCTTATTAGTAATAATTACGAATTACGTAGTTGACGTCATAGTGCCCATGAAAACTAGGTCCCACCACGCAGCCTCGCAAATTAAGACATCGGGAAATTTGCGAATTGCATCTGAGATTACATATTTTTATTTTATACTCAGTTCGGCTTTATATATTTCGTCCTTGTCATCGGCATGTTTCGATCTAACGACCGGTCAACGAACTATACGCTCGATAAATTTTTTTGTACCTACCGGAAAGAAACAACTAAAAGCCGTTCCAAATCTAAAATCATTAAATCCCGCGACCGCGAGTCAGGGAATAAATTCGTCTCGTGAGATGTTTTACGAACACAATCGTGTTTATAATTATACACATATATGTATACACCACAGTCCTGAAAATCCGTTGTTCTAACCGTATAACGGTGCTTTACGGCGAATCTATAACATAAGATTTTACAACCACGCTACAAGTACTATGACGTACTGTCATCTCACTCACATATTAATATATTATGTTTGGGTACCTAAAAACGAAAAATAGAACTAAAAGGCCAATTCTTGAAAAAACGAGAGCAAGTTGGCGACCGTCGCGGTCAGCAAAAGTCCGTAGTCCTCTGTTAAATATAAACATGTATAATAACTATAAATATTTTTAGCTAGACTTATACTTAAACTTTTGTTGCCTTTGAGAAATGTCATCGAACTTTTTCATGTATAATAGCTATAATAAGCGAAACCAATATAATGCCTCATATCAATTACCACTTTATACTTTTTGTATATGACTGAACAGTTCTAATCTTATGCTACACTAGCAATAACTTTTGTTCACTCCTAAATTCAATGAAGTTTTTAGCATGAAATCATATGTCATCAAAAGTATGGAAACTGACCATAATTGTTAATCATAATAATCACAATTATTTTTCTTATAAAATAATAATCAACATACAACACAGCTGCTAAACAATTATTTTTTATTAATCATTTTAATATTATATTTCTGTGAATAAAAGCGAGCTATCTACTGTAAAATACTTTTTAGATAATATGTAATTTATTTTATTTTTTTTTTTCAGTAAATTTATAAAATCTAAGAGGACCTTAATTAATTTAAAATCTTTTCCCCAGTTTAAGCATGTGTGTGAAACGTGTAAGTTGTAACAAGTAGATAGGTATAATAGTATATTCCTATAATCATAAAATATATGATCAGGCGCGTCGGGTAAATTTATACGTTAAAGTAAACAAAAATTAGCAGTGGAAAAAAAAACAAAAAACGAGCATTCGTTGAATAATAGTGAGAAAATCAAATTAATGTATGATTGGTACTTAACAATAATATACAATATATATAATGATAAAACGTTGGGTGTCTTGTAGAATCTAGTCAAACAGGATTACACTTCGACCGTTATTCACTAGCTCGAGTCCGTTATTACACACACACACACACACACACACACACACACACACACACATGCACATGAGCACGCGTGCGTAATATCTTACACTGAGAGAAATGACTAGGTACACACATAGTCACTTGTATCGGAAATACTACCTATATATATATACATATCGTATACTTATTATAGGTACGATTACACAGAACTAATGACATTTAATTATATATTATATACGTGAGGACGTCCGGGGAGATGGTACTTGTGCGTGCACTTGTTGTGAACGCCGTGCGTGAACCGTTTCTCGTTGGCGGCCGCGGCGA